TTTAAGACAGAACATGAGGCATGCCAATCACAGGGCTATCAAATTAAGTTCCACTTTCTTAGATAATATCCGTATGTCAATAATTGGAAATATTGTCTTCAATTACTCAAGACACAATTACCACAAAAACATGACATATCTATAGCTTCAAATGACAAATTTATGTCTAAAAACAAGCAGACTTAATTGATATATTACACTTACTTGAACAGATTATTATGTCTGAACAATCAAATTTGTACAAATGATAAAATGTCAAAGTTTGCCGTTATAAAAAGTCATTCAGTATCACTTAATACATTCTAGGAATCACTTTTTATCAAATAAATCATGCAATTATAACAAATATATTTGTCCACGAAGCCTTTTCTTAAACCTAAGCTGTATCAGCTTGACAATCAAGTTTGTTTTGTTTTTGGATTTTTATGTCAGATACTTTAGAAGTCATATAGCCTCTTTTTCAGCTTAATTGGTAGAGGAACCCCTCAGGTTACCACATCATGCATATTTCAGGCACAAGCCAGTACTTAATTAAACCACCAATCATCTGTAAGCTAGCTGGATAACTTTTACACATGAAATAATCCAAAGACCCTGATGGCATTCAAATCAAATAAATTTCAAGTCAACAATCTTAACAACTCAGCCATGGAGGCACAAGAAAACAACAATGAATATATCAGTATTTCTCAAGCCATCTTTCTAGACTGCACCAGCACTGGTGATATATATCCCTCACCCAATTTCTTTGGGGGACTTGAACCCACAACCCCAAGCATTATACGGCAGTCACTATAAGCGCAATGCATTCTGCTCTCAAATAATGTATTCCAAGGAATGTTAGCAAAGCCTTTAAACATATCATTCATGTCTAAATAAAAGAATATTTTCTAAAATTAAGAGTTTCTTATGAGTATTGTATGTGACAGGGAACTGACAGGAATATAAATTCACATTATTAAAGACAATTACAAAATTCAAACAATTCAAAAGATTCGAGAGCTTTCTGCAAAAACTGTTTAACCTTTAACCTTTGTTCTCATACCTATACCATACTGGACCTTTCCCACCAGTATAGAACCAGGTCACTTTGCACTTTCAGGCAGTGTGACCGGACTTTATACCACTGTATGACCAATCTAAAACAAGATTGCATTTGTAAAAAATGCTATGCCACCGCATAAATACAACACTAAAATAGTAATGTAGGAACACATTTTTTTTGTTTTGACCCAAGGGCTTTAATTTGAATAATCTTGCTAAAGGTTCACTACACAATGTTTACTGCAAAATGTCTCACACCTAGCCTTTGTCAATTCGAGAAGGTGAATTTTTAAAGTTTTTACTATATACATGTAAGGAAAACCTATGACCCCGGGGCAGGGCTAGTTTTGACACTAGATGCAAAATTTGAACAACTTTGGTAGAGTACCTTTAGATGATATCATATACCAAATATCAAAGCTCTAAGCCTTGTACCTTCAGACAATAAGATTTTTTAATTTCTCACTATATGTACATAGTGAAAATCAATGACCCCCGGGGGTGGGGCCAATTTTGACCCCAGGGCTATAATTTGTTCAATCTTGCTAGAGGTTCACTACACAATGTTTCACGCAAAATATCTAACCTCTAGCCTTTGTCAATTTAGAGAAGATGATTTTTTAAGTTTTTACTATATACATATGAGGAAAACCTATGACCCCCGGGGCAGGGCTAATTTTGACACTAGAGGCAAAATTTGAACAACTTTGGTAGAGTACCTATAGATAATAACACATACCAAATATCAAACCTCTAAGCCTGGTACCTTCAGACAAGAAGGTATTTTAAGTTTTTACTATATGTACATATAGTGAAAATCAATGACCCCCGGGGCGGGGCCGATTTGGACCCCAGGGATATAATTTGAACAATCTTGGTAGAGGTCTACCAGACAATGCCTTATGCAAAATATCTAAGCTCTAGGCCTTTTTGGTCTTTACGAGAAGATTTTTTAAATTTATTCTTATAATTCCTTTTTGTTGCCATGGCAACCAGAATTCTGCATGGAATGAAATTTTTTGAACAACTTTGGAAGGCCTTCACCCAAGGAACAATCCTGCCAAGTTTGGTTGAAATTGGACTAGTGGTTTTTCACAAGAAGATTTTTTAAGTTCACTATATAATCTATATAACACACACACACACACGCACACACACACAAACTAACACACACACAGGTGAATCGCTATATGCCACCGCATCGCAGATGCTGCGGTGGCATAAAAAAATTCTTGATATCCCCAAAAATAAAAATGGGATAATTCCAAAAAGAAATCTGGATAAGCATGTTAAAGAAACTCCATAAAGGTTAGAAACAATTTTTTTTGCACCATTTTTCAAGAATCATCTTAAATATGAATCAGATATGATTTGTTAATGTAAACAAAACAGTATTAAGTTTTTTTGTGAAGAAGTTAGTTAAAAAGCAAGCCAAAGCAATGAAGGATGGATTATAGATATTACCGGCATAGTTGGTGGTGTAGAAATCTCTTGTTCCATATCTAAATAGTCATCTTGGTCCTGTAGTTAATATTAGGTGATGTTTAAGTCATGTAAAAAAAGGTCAGGGATGTCACTTTCTGATAACTATGGCAGATATCATTTCTGATAATAAATCTATTGTCATCAATTTTTTAAAAATGATCTTTTTTTTTTGTCAAAACTATAATTATCCACAGATTATTTTTAACCCAGTCCTCTCACCTTAAAATAGCTTGGACCATACATATACACAAAACCAGATAATAATAAAAAGGTCAATAAAATTGGCATTTAAAAAAAATTCTCTATGTACATAAGATAAATAACTTCAAGGGTTATAAATCTACATGGGGAACATTGAGTCTTTATTCTGCTCAATCCAAAAGAAATAAGCCTTTGTCTTCAGTAATTATCCATCCCAGCCTGCACATCAGATCCTCTGCATTTGGACCTGACTCTATAATTAAATGTATTTTTGAGTGACTAAACTTCAAATTTTTATCATGATTTCCTCAACATTGACAGTTCTAAAAATAGAATCTGGAAGAGTCCATTTAAGAAATTCAGCAAGTTCAGGGTGCGTCTAATAGTGTGGGTTTGGATAAAAATTAAGATTTATCAACTTTACCTCTGTATCATCCGTATCAGGTACCTCGTAAAATTCTTCTTCCTTTAAAATAGGTTATAGAAAAATATTAACTGCTAAAAAACATTTGAAAACATGCCAAGAAAGCAAAAATGTTAGTAAATCAAACTGTTACAAAAAGGTAAAGGAAAAAATATCAACTCAAGACCACCATTTTAAACTCAAACTACAAAAGTGAAAAGCAATATGCATAATTGTACTTTAAGCATTTATTACAATTCTCACCTCGTCTTGTTTATTAAATTTCTGTGGTGCAGGCTTCGGAGGGGCGGAGTCAGTCTCATCAGGGATTTCGTAAGTTTCCTCCTACAAAACAATAAAAACCAAGTTACATTTAAATATATACCAGTACACATAACTATCATAATTACATTATAGTATACTTTCCAAAATATTATGTGAAAAATTGTAAAGTTACAATTTAAACAGACTGATTTACGTACTTGTACAACTATAGGCTCATGTGCTTTCTTTCTTGGTGCGTTTCTCGGTGCGTTTCTCGGTGCGTTTCTCGGTACATTTCTCGGTACAGGAGGAGGAGGAGCAGACTCTTCTTCCGGCATTTCATACGATGGTAATTCCTGTGAAAATAACGTAACACTCCATTTGTCTCGTGCAAAACTGAATTATATCATCATTTAAAGCTGTATTTAATAACATTTATTGCATCTGATGGCGCCAAATGTCACAGTCTAGTTAAAATATGTGTCCAATCAATGATCAAACCAAATACACCTTATTTTACAATTCTAGCAGCAGTTTGTCCATATCTGAGCCACACCATGACGAAACCAACATAATGGGCATCCGCGCAGTCTGATCAAGATCCATTCTGTTCGCTTACCAACCCTATTACAAGTAGAACAAGAGCTGTCCGTAAGACAGCGCGCTCGACTTTTTTATTGCTTGCCAATAAAAAAAGTTTTTGCAGTAAAAGGCAATACAAGAATCTCTGTATTTTTAAAGTGAACAATGGCCATGAGCATTAACATATTTAGTGAAGAATTATTTTACTGAATTGTGTGATACCCTTGAACACTGCAGCAAAGTTTGAAATGTTTAAGTCAAAAGAGGGCTGGTAAGAAAGAAAAAAAAACTGAGTTGAGTTTTTTAGTGCTTGCCTATAATACAAAACATTGACAGTTAAGGGCCATAATTCAAATAAAATCTTTGACAGAATTTACCTTCTCCTGGACATGTTGGGAATCATGATTGTAAACCAAGTATTCCAACTTTCAAATTAATATCTCAAACAGTTCAGTCAAAAAGTGGACTGGTACTAAAAACTTAACCAAGATTCTAAGTCGATAAAAGGCCTTAATTTTTAAAACAAATCCTTGACAGAGTTACCTTCTCTTGCGTACAGATGGGGGTAATGATGTGAAATAGCATTAAAAGTTTCAAAGCAAATATCTCAAAGGGTTAAGGCAATAAGTGGATTTTTACCCATATTCATTTGTATTTTCTAAGTCCAAAAAGGGGCATAATTCTGTCAAAAACCTTGACAGAGTTATGTCCTCTTGTCTGTTGATGAAGGTCGTGATGGTAAACAAGTATGGTCAGTTTCAAAAAAGCAATACCTCCAATGGTTTTGAAATAAAGTGAGGTGGTTACAAAAAACTTAACCAAGCTCAATACACTTTCTAAGTCAAAAAAGGGCCATAATTCTGTCAAAAACCTTGACAGAGTTATGTACTCTTGTCTGTAGATGGAGGTTATGATGGTGAACAAGTATGGTAAGTTTCAAAGCCATACTTGTAATACTTCTGAAATAAAGTGGGGTGGTACGAAAAACTTAACCAAGGTGTGACGCCAACGCCGACGTTTTGTCGTGACGCGGCTCATTTAATGTTTAAAGACAATCATAATATACAAGTATTTTATGCGTCAAATTAATCATAATGTGCATTAAATTCTCGTACATGTACTTAGATTATCATTATATGAGGGTTGTTCAGAAAGTTTGTACAATTCCTTTATCAAATGCTTAGTATTCATGGAAAGTTTAAACAAATTTCATATCCCTAGTCTTTAAATTTTTTATATTTAATCTATAAAATTCAAAAAGATATATTTTCAAACTTTTTTTTACAGTTCAAAAAAACTGTGTGTAACCAATACCCAGAGCAGTCTACTCAATGTCAATACAAAAATGACATCCAAAAAAAAATTAACATAATTTACTCCTATCATTAGTTCATGTGTCAAATCATTTTGTTTTTAAAGTACATTTACTGAAACAACACACCATAATCAAAGAAATATTAGAAAATAATTCATGCTAAGAATAGTTTCACAAAAACATAGATCAAAGTCTAGCATGCCAATTAGTTGTTCTAGCCAAGAAGTTGCATTATCCAATGTGTAGTAAAATTATATATTGAACCATCCAATTAAATACTTTTAATATAGAATGGTTAACAGATTTAAGCACTGTTGTATGACTGTTCAATACTGTTTAATATAGAAACCAGTCTATGATAATTAATTTCTATGACCAGTCTATTACTTGGAATACTGAAATGAAACCAGCCTATGATTTAATTTAATATGAAACAAAACCAGTCTGTAGTTTTAGACTGATGAGTTTTGATTGGATGAAATCATTCCAAAATTAACAAAAACCAGTTTAATGATTTGCATTGAATATCAAACAAGAAAAGGCTATGACTTCACATTGAGTATTGAACAAAACAAGTCTATGACCTCACATTGAATATTAAACAAAACAAGTCTATGACTTCACATTGAATATTGAACAAAACAAGTCTATGACTTCACATTGAATATTGAACAAAACAAGTCTATGACTTCACATTGAATATTGAACAAAACAAGTCTAAAACAAGTCTATGACCTCACAATGAATATTGAATGAAACCATATACATGTATCATGAAAAAAAGGAGTCTCAAATGTTTAATGAACCAAGTATCAGTGACCATTATCATGAAAGGCTTGGATAACATACACTAGAAGTAGTAGATGGTTTTCTTGGCATCTTAGACAAAGGAGGAGGCTGTGGTTTCTGGATACTTGACACCGTCTCATCAGGATTCTCATATTCTTCCTAAAAAAGTAGTTCCAACGTAACTTTTGTAAAAAAAATAGTTCTGACATACGTTTCAAGGGTATTGTATTTAACCAGTCGTTGGTTTTAAACTGAAGTAAAACAAACCCATTTTGATATTTTTTTCTGACCATTTAAAACATCATTTTGCACAGAAGACGTTTCTTGACTTTGAAAAAAAATATATAGAAATTTCATAAAAATAAAGGAAATGAAATGTTACAGTAGCAGATTGTATCAAATGTCTACATGAAATTAATACATGTATAGTAATATTTTCAGAAGAATAAAGTAAGAGACAAAATTCAGTTACAGATAAAGTAAGTCTGAATACAGGAAATTCCTCTACAACCAGTTTGGCGGAGAATAATTTGAACAAATTAAACTGATAATGAAATTTGAAAAAAAAGTTGAAAAAGTCTTTTAAAGATAATCTTAAGAAACACTACATCACTATACTTATAATTTGTAAATTTGCAGATGAAAGTATAATGATATAGCTGTAACAACAGTAAAAGTTTACTAAAAATAAAAATTTTAGAATAAATCATGCAGACAAAATTGAAAATAAGACAAATTAAAGTGTGACTTTATCTCTACTAACTTCCTCTACAGGGGCTCGGTTTCTCACCGACCGTGACGGGGGTACTGACGATACTGGGGGTGGCGGAGGCTTTCTCTGACCTTGGGATTTATTTGGTGGTTTCTTAGCAACCATGGCATCTGGTTCCTCGTATTCCTCCTAAAAGTCAATGATAATGATGATGTCACAAATGATGTCATAACTACCTGTTTGTTCCATGAGTTAATTGGTTGTTAATTGACAAATTAAAACGACACATTATAATATGTTAACACACTGTTAATTCTTTATAAAAGTCAAAATTCTATTAGAAAATGTCAGCCAATAGAAACATCAAGGTCATAGAATGGCAGAAAAATCAGATGTTCCATATTTCCTTTGTAACTGGTACATTTACAATGTTAGTTTTTATAGAATGTGTCATCGGCATTATCATTTGTAATCAAGACATTCATGACTGCTTTTGATTACCAACCATTTGCTTTTGTCTACCGAGCATTTTTTTACTTTCTAAAAATAAAAAATTATTACAAATACACTTTAATACCAGTATCTCATTCCTAACTTACAAAATGGATTTTTTCTTTTCTTTTCCAAGCCATGCTGACTTTGACCCTTGACCTTACATGGCTCAACAGCAGTTTCCTGGACAGATTTCAAGCAATAATCTCACTCCTTTATAGAATTATTGGCAAGAAACCAATATTCCATAATTAGCCATTGTGACCTTGACCTCTGATTGCAAAAATGTAATCCCTAACAATGTTTTTACATAAGCATCATTTACACATCAATTAATTAAAACCTGTCAATCCAAACTTATGTTATTAAGTAGAAACAATGAAAACAACAATAAATAAACACCACAAACAGAATCTATACCTCTGGTTCTGCGGGGGTAGGCAGGGGTCTTCTAGGACCGGTTGGTATGGGCGGAGGTTTAATGACAACTGTGCTGTCCGGATCTTCATACTCCTCCTAAATTGAAAGTAAAAAAAACTCAGAGATGTACTGTTGCCATGGTAATCTCACATTATTCTTTAAAATGACTTTCTGTAAGCTGGCTCGATAGAATCCTCACATGAAAGAATCCCTGTTGCTGTCCCTTTCGGGATTCAAACTGAAGTTAATGACCTTAACCACTTGGCCCCTGATGCCCAAATGAAATATCATCTTGTAAATGACAGTGACATAATACCTAGATCTATACACCTTATCAAGTCCCCGTGAAAGGGCACTTGACTGAGTCGTCCTAGAAATTTGACTGACCAGTCAAATAAATATCCCTTGAAATTTGATCATCATGCTGGTTAACTACCAATATCATATAATTATTAGGGGGATAAATTAAGTGGCTAAAAAAGTAATTATTGGAGGGACGAAAATAATGCACCAAAAAACAAATCAAGAATAAGCACATACCACGCTGTCGGTATCGCTGTCAGATGAGTCAGTAGGTAGCGCTGGTGGTTTCCTTTGAGCAATCGGCACCTGTTTATTCACTTGTTTATTCACTGGTGTTGGTGGTGTAGGTAAAGGGCCGCCATGAAAATGTGCGACTTTAATGCTAGCATCTGGGTCCTCATAATCCTACCAGATTATAAAATATAAATATTTAAAACATCAGTTTCACAAATAAATGGTATATACAAGATAATGAATTTAACAAATAAAGGGTTTGATACTGAAATACTGAGTTAATGTTAACATGCGAATTGTTTTTATGCACTGAATTTCCCTTAGTGATGTCCACATAATTTATGAAGTGTTTTTTAACTAAAATAGTTTTAGCTTTAAGCTGCATGCCTCCAGATGTGTTAAAATATTTCAATAAAATCAAGCATTAGAAAAATGTACTAAGACTTTAGGAAAAATAAAAGATTCAAGTAATAATTGACATGTAATGTGCAATTAATGGCTGATTTTTCAGTAATCATATCTACAATTCTACTGCTTTACTAACGCAGTAAGGGCTAGTTTTGCATATTTTGACTTCTTCTTGGTAATTAACATAGAATGTAAGTGCCATTGTTAATGTGCAAATTGCTTCTTTTTGGTTACTTCATAACTTTATACTTTAAAATCAGTTTTCAAATTTTTCATGAAAATCAGTAAAATCTGTAGGTGGGTTGCTTTAAGCTCCAGTCAAAGTGTGACATACAATTAGTGGACAGAGTGCGAGACCAATGCTAAACATATATCCCTCCACCTTTAGATAATAAATGAATAAGGTCAGGTCCAACAATGACACAAAATGTGTAAACAATGAAACAAAAGGTGCTACCTTTGACAGTAATACCATATTCCTTTTATAAAAATATACACAAATGCTATCTAACTTAATTCAACAGCAATGTATCTTACCTCATTTGGGCCATCTAAATCAGGCACAGGAGCAGGCGGTCTTCCTCTGACATCTGGGGGCTGAGGTCTCCCTCTAGCATTAGGAGGTGTAGGTCGCCCTCTACTATCAGGGACTGGGGGTGGCAGGCGATCCCTAGCAGACGGCAAAGGTGGTCCGCTTACCTCATCAGGTTCCTGGTAAAATTCTTCCTGTAAAAAAAGCAGCCATTTATTTTTTCCAAAACTATCAAATATAGTTAAAAAATTCATGAAATAACGCAAAAATTATAAAAAATAGATTTAAGAACAAAAAGAAACAACTGCCATTTTATTACAAAACCCTGTTTTCATCAATGAATTTTTACCTGTAGCCTTGGTGGAATCCACTTGCTAAACTCATGTAACAAGTACAGGTCAAGACCAGCTTGCATATCCATGATGTCTGATCAGAGTCTACCCTGCTCCCTATATTCAGTCAGTACATATTTTGAAATTATTCCTTATACTGATGAATGGTGTTGACCAGATTGAAAGTGTACTACCAGCTGCCGGTACAAATCGGAACATCAAGCTCAAGGGTAACTGTTTATAGCAATAACGAGGTTCTGCCAAGTTTCTGCTAATCAGTTATCCGGGCAGCTAGATATTCCTGTCTATGGATACAGCCAGTGTTTGATTCTTTTTCTTGCATATTACATATTAATGATATTTTGAAAGGATATTACAAAAACTAAAATACCGTTATCTTAAGAACGCAATTCATTCATAAAAGGTGCATGGGAATAATGTCATTTCACGCATGCGACTTGTCTTACATGGTGTTATAACAAAGGTTTTTCCAGCACCAGTGTTAACAGTAAATAATCCAGTCTGATATGCAAGAAGATTACATTTGTGCAAGCAGACTGAGAAAGTGAAAATGAAAACATGTAAGCATCAGGATACAAACCTCTTCTGGTTCTGGTTCAGGTCGTGCCGGGAGCTGTCTGTGCGGTCTGGAACTGACCGGAAGTTGTACATCTCTTCTATCTATATAACACAACAATAATAAATGTTTTATCTTACAATATATGTATACATATAATACAACAATATACATGTATGATACAGCATTATACATGTATAATACAACAATATACATGTATGATACAACAATATACATGTATAATACAACAATATACATGTATGATACACCAATATACTTATATGATACACCAATATACATGTATGATACAACAATATACATGTATGATACAACAATATACATATATAATACAGCAATATACATGTATGATACACCAATATACATGTATGATACAGCATTATACATGTATAATACAACAATATACATGTATAATACAGCAATATACATGTATGATACAGCAATATACATATATGATACACCAATATACATGTATGATACAGCAATATACATGTATAATACAACAATATACATGTATAATACAGCAATATACATGTATGATACACCAATATACATGTATAATACAGCAATATACATGTATGATACAGCAATATACATGTATGATACAGCAATATACATGTATAATACAACAATATACATGTATGATACACCAATATACATGTATGATACAACAATATACATGTACATGTATAATACAACAATATACATGTATGATACACCAATATACTTATATGATACACCAATATACATGTATGATACAGCAATATACATGTATGATACACCAATATACATGTATGATACACCAATATACTTATATGATACACCAATATACATGTATGATACAGCAATATACATGTATGATACAGCAATATACATATATGATACACCAATATACATGTATGATACAACAATATACATGTATGATACAACAATATACTTATATGATACACCAATATACATGTATGATACAACAATATACATGTATGATACAGCAATATACATGTATGATACAGCAATATACATGTATGATACACCAATATACATGTATGATACAACAATATACATGTATGATACACCAATATACATGTATGATACACCAATATACATGTATGATACAACAATATACATGTATGATAAAGCAATATACATGTATGATACACCAATATACATGTATGATACACCAATATACATGTATGATACAGCAATATACATATATGATACAACAATATACATATATGATACACCAATATACATGTATGATACAGCAATATACATATATGATACAGCAATATACATAATATGATACACCAATGTATACATATATGATACAGCAATATACATATATGATACACCAATATACATGTATGATACAGCATATACATATATGATACAACAATATACATATATGATACAAACAATATACATGTATGATACAACAATATACATGTATGATACAACAATATACATATATGATACAACAATATACATGTATATACAACAATATACATGTATGATACAACAATATACATGTATGATACAGCAATATACATGTATGATATACAACAAATATACTTAATAATGATACACCAAATATAACCATGTGATGATACACTAAATATACATGTAATGATACAACAAATATACTTATATGATATACACCAATAACCATACATGTATGATACACTAACTATACATGTATAGATATAACAATATACTGTATGATACACCAAATATACTTATATGATACCAATAATACATGTAATGATACCACCATTATACACAGCAATTACATGTTTGGGATACAAACAATATACATGTTGAATTCAACTAATATACATGAAATACCAATATACAGTGTACAATATACATGTATGATACAACAATATACATGTATGAATCAGCAATATACATGTAATGATACATATACATGTATGATACATATACATGTATAATACAGCAATATATGTATGAATAACACCAATATACATGTATATCAGCAAATACATATAACCACCAATATACATGTATGATGATACAGCAATATACAATGTATGATACAAGCAATATACATGTATGATACAGCAATATACATGTATTAGATCACAAATATACATGTAATAAATACACCAATATACATGTATAATACACCAATATACATGTATAATACAGCAATATACATGTATGATACAGCAATTTATACATGTATGATACAGCAATATACATGTATATAGATACAGCAATTATACATGTATGATACAGCAATATTACATGTATAATACAGCAATACACTGTACAATATACATGTATGATACAGCAATATACATGTATAATACAGCAATATACATGTATAATACAGCAATATACATGTATAATACAGCAATATACATGTATGATACAGCAATATACATGTATGATACAGCAATATACATGTATGATACAGCAATTATACATGTATGATACATACAGGAACAAATATACATGTATATAGCATATACATGATACATACAGCAAATACATGTATGATACAGCAATATACATGTATGATACAGCAATATACATGTATGATACAGCAAATATACATGTAATGAATACAGCAATATACATGTATGATACAGCAATATACATGTATGATACAGCAATATACATGTATGATACAACAATATACATGTATGATACACCAATATACATGTATAATATACAGCAATATATACCATGTATGATACACCAATATACATGTATGAATATATGTATGATACACCATATACATGTATGATACAGCAATATACATGTATGATACAGCAATATACATGTATGATACAACAATATATACATGTATAATACAGCAATATACATGTATAATACAGTTACAATATACATGTATGATACAGCAATATACATGTATGATACAGCAATATACATGTATGATACAGCAATATACATGTATGATACAGCAATATACATGTATTATACAAATATACATGTATGAACACAAATATACATGTATGAATACAATATACATGTATGATACACCAATATACATGTATGATACAGCAATATACATGTATGATACAGCAATATACATGTATGGATACAACAATATACATGTATGAACAGCAATATACATGTATGATACAGCAATATACATGTATGATACAGCAATATACATGTATAATACAGCAATATACATGTATGATACAGCAATATACATGTATGATACAGCAATATACATGTATGATACAACAATATACATGTATGATACAGCAATATACATGTATGATACAACAATATACATGTATGATACACCAATATACATGTATAATACACAATATACATGTATGATACACCAATATACATGTATGATACACCAATATACATGTATGATACAGCAATATACATGTATGATACACCAATATACATGTATGATACACAATATACATGTATGATACAGCAATATACATGTATGATACACCAATATACATGTATAATACAACAATATACATGTATAATACAGCAATATACATGTATGATACAACAATATACATGTATGATACAGCAATATACATGTATGATACAACAATATACATGTATGATACAACAATATACATGTATAATACAGCAATATACATGTATGATACAACAATATACATGTACAATTTACATGTGCATGTATAATGTAATACATTGTACATAATGATGTTATAACATGTACTATAACAGGACTTTATGTACATGTAGGTAACCTTTATAAAGTTTATATACATGTACATATATATTTTCTTTACCTGTAAACTGATTTTGAGCAATGAATAGGTTGGAAGTTTTGTTAGGATATTCTGGTACTTCAATATTGAAGCACCAAAAGCATAATAGTACTTAATGTTTCTATTTTTTGGAAATGTCATAAACTAAAGATATTTGTTGAAATCAAAGGTAACTGCTAAACAGACAAACTGAAACACTATCCAGTGCGTAAAGGGTCAAGTGCACTGGAAGTGAACTTCAAAGTGCATTTTGAAGTGCACAGTAAAACTGCACATGTACATGTAGCGCACACCAAATACACTTTGTGTAACGATTTGTGCGAATTCCGTTGTATTGTGCCTTGCTCTATATTGGTGGCGAAGGTTTATCAATTTCAGCAGAATAATCCTATGTGGGGTTAATTAAAGATTTTCCAAATGATTTCCTTAATTGTTCCAAAATAAATCCACTGACATAAAGGCTTTTCTGACAGCGAATATTCTTCATGTTTTTTTTTCTCTCGTTTCTTTAACTTCCATTATGACCAAAGTATAAATGAGATTTTACAAGTTTTCAATCCAGTTGCAGTTTGAAAAAAAAATCACAAAAAATTTAACAAAATAAAAAAATATGATAAAATTTAACAAGACTATATATAAACTGTATAAAAATATCATCTGTTAAACACTTACTTGGTCTAGGAGGCGCCACCGGGTTGTTCTCTATTGGCTTGTTATAAGAATCTCCATTGTTATTATCTGAAATTAATAAATATATTTGTTAGATTATATACAAAAGCTGTCTAAACAGAAACACTCACCATTTTCCTCAATGCTACATAATAAACTACACTTTGATTTAATGGCCATTTTTATGTTTTGCTATTACTGGAAACAGTGACTTTGTGGCCTGACAATTAGCATGACAGGTGGAACTCAATAAGGTGCATTCACCAGTTCACATATAAAGTTTTCAATGCAATAGCTTAATTTGTTCAAGGTATCATGAAGTAAAAAACTTTGAACAAGACTGTAAACAATGTCATTGCTGCCTAGTAGGTCATGCAATAACATTGACTGCTCTTTCCTTCAGAAAGTGGAGCTAAAAAAATACATTTTTTTGTGTCAAATGAGCTGCGTCATGAGAAACCAACCTAATGTGTTTGTGACCAGCGTGGATGATCCAGCCCAGTCTGCGCATTACCGTGCAGTCTTATCAGGATCCTGTTTTTGGTTTAGCTTACAAAACCCTATTAACAAGTAGAGAAACTGAATAGCGAACGACATGGATCCTATCAGACTGCGCGGATGCGCAGGCTGGTCTGGATCCATGCTGCAAACGTTGTTTTTGTTGTGACGCGGCTCAAATATCATTTTCCACTTTTAAAGGAACTCCATGGGAATTAGTAACGATTCGCCACACTAACGATTCGCCACATAACGATTCGCCACAGAGTAATAACGATTCGCCACAGTTAAATAACGATTCGCCACAGTATGATTATAGATATAACAATGATTTTTTTAGTTATCAACAAACTTTTTCCTTTTGTTTAATAATTTGACAATGACAATAATTTAATAATGTTTCTTAATACAAGTAACATGAACTTAAAGCCCCCATCGCGGATTTTCAATTTATTAAAGTAACATTATTACAGGAGTACATTTACAAGAAAATAATTATATGTTGATTAATCATAAACATAACTGTCAAGTTATATAAGAAGAAGAGAAGAAATAGTTTATTTCGGTAACTTATACATTTACAGTATCTCGTTACATACAATAATTACAAATATAATAATTCTGTGGTCACATGACAAAAGCAAAGAAAAAAATAATAAAAAGAACATAAAAAAGTTTTAACTGATGACATTCTTACAGACAGCTGCAAATAAAGGAACAAAGAACATCACAATATCATTACCATTCATTTATATATATATGTCAAATATTTTAAAAAATATATTGCAAAAACACGTGATCATTACGATAATTGATTAAAGAACGCATATCTAAAACATTTGTCACACCTTTTATTTTAACAAGCCAATCACCTTAAATTGTAGAAATATTAAATTGACGCCGAAATAATCCTTTAATTATCTGACAATGTGAGCAGATTTCAAAACAATGCGGCAATTAAGCTTATGTATGTAAATTTTGTAATAAAATATGTTAGTTATATTAATAACTTATCTAAAATGTGTAATGTAATTTTGGTAATAAAATATATTTATTGTCATTTATTAAATTAAAGCTTTCCAGTTTATATAAATAACGAAGTTTAACTTATCTACAATGTGTAATGTAATTTTGGTAATAAAATATTCATGTGTCTTTATTCAATAAAAACTGTTTTCGTATAATTTTCCAGTTTATATGAATAACCAGGTACGTATGTTAATATACTTACCTGGAATAAAGAAGTTTTTCTCATCTACAATGTGTGATGTAATTTTGGTAATAAAATATTCATTTTCATGTGTTTTTGTTCTATAAAAGTTGTTAGTATATTTTTCCAGTTTATATCAATAACGAAGTTATAAAATGTGTTATATAATTTGTTAATAAAATATCTGGTTTTCGTGTGTTTTATTCAATAAAAGCTTTATTCAGTGTAATTTATTTATGTAATTAACAATTTTTTTTTTAATTTTTTTTTATGAAATATAAATTATAAAAAAGTTTTTCATCAACAATTTGAAAACAGGTGTGAACAAGTTTGTATTTGAATACGTGGCGAATCGTTATTACTCTGTGTCGAATCGTTATGTGGCGAATCGTTAGTGTGGCGAATCGTTACATTACCCTCCATGGAGCTCCAAAAGACTGAAAACATAAAATTTGAATTTCTTACAATCATCAGCTGTGTCACTTTAAACAGAAAAATATGCAAAAGATATTTAAGAAGGATTCTCTGATTAAATTGAAAATATTAATATTTGTCTCCTATTTTAGCCCAATTTGAGTGAACATTAAGGTTGCAATGCTTTTAAATTTTGGATAATTTTTCACAATTAAAATAATTATTCTGGAATAAGGGAGTGAGTGAACGATCTGAAAAATTGCACAAAAGTTATTGGTCTAGACCTTCATCGGATGAAAAGCTTATCTTGAAAAGTTATTTCCAGTCCTATCAATTGTTAAAAACATCAGGTGTGTTCCTTTAACTTTTGTCTGCCTATATTTCCCTACTTGTATTTCAGAGCAAATTTATTGGTATTGATTTTGTTCTCATAATAAAGATATAAATTATATTTTTAAATCTTAGATAAGTTAAAACATATTGCCTGTCCTCATTTAAATACCATCCTGGTTTATTTAAACATTTAAAAATACGACAAGAAACAAATTTTAAAACTGTGAAACATTACAAGAAACAACAACAAATAAACATTTAACTTACAAGGTCCGAGCTCCTCATAAACACTTCTCCTGTATATTTTAGTTTTTCTACGATTTCTTTTTATATTATCAAATATTTTTGACTGTTTCCGTAATTTAACATAAGTTACATCTTTATTTGATCTTGACAATAATTCCTTCACTTTGGAAAACAGAAACATTTTCCAAACTTTTCAATTAGATTCTTCTTATTACCAATCACTCAGTTAGGAAAAAAATTACTATGTCCAGTCCTATAATATTTCTATATTTTGGAGTCCTAAATTTTCCAACAAGATGAATACAGAAAGTGAAAAAGCAATAAAGTTATATTGCCTTAAAGATTTGATTTTAAATCCAGAAAGTGAAAAATTAAATCAATTTAGTTATAACTAATTAAGTTAAACTTTTTTTTTTACATTTGAAATAATTTATAGACCTAATTAAGCTTTATTTTTATTACACACTTTAAACTTTCTTCTCACATAATATCAGATTAAAATATTTTACATGCAATATCAGAATTTAACTATCACTTATTATAAATAAAAAACATGTATAAACCTGTCAGAGCTTGATGTGTGATTAAAAGATGTCTTTAACAATTGATCACTTGCTACAATTAAAGGTATGTCGTCCCTTTAATTTTTCACAGTTTTTACTACCATAATTATCATAGTTAAATCAGCCATTATTATGTAAATAGTGAAACTTTTCACATACTTTGTGGAATTATCACACATTTGTTAATTTCTCTTTTATTGAGAAGTATTTAGGATTTATATGACAACAGTATGAAAGAAAGAGAAGAAAGAAAATAAAATAAAGGGGAGTGACTAACGTTTTTAAACATTTAAACAAATTTTACATTACTGTGATACAACAAGAAACAACAACAAATAAACATTTAACTTACAAGAACCAAGCTCCCCAGAAACTCTTCTCCTGTATATTTTAGGTTTTCTACAATTTCTTTTTGACTGCTTCCGTAATTTGACAAAATTTACATTTTTATTTGACCTTGACAACAATTCCTTCACTTTGGAAAACAGAATCATTTTCCAAACCTTTCTTACAAAGAATCTTCTAATTATGAATCACTCAGGAAAAAAATGAAAATGCACTGTCCAATTATATTTCCATATTTTGGATACTTAAATAAAATTTCCAGTCAAAAGACATAAAGAGATGCCACTTGATCTATGTAAATCCAGAAAATGAAAAAGCAATCAAGTGATATTGCCTAGAAGATTTTTTTCATATAGACATAAATAAGCTTTATTTTCAACTGTCTGTCTCACATAACACCAGATTAAAATATTTTACTATGAAAGTTAAACCATCACTTATTATAAAATATAAACCTGTTAGAAAATGACATGTGATTAAAAGATGCCTGTAACAATAGACCACCTGCTACAATTAGAGTAATTTTTCACAGTTTTTTACTACCATATAGATAAATCAATCATGATTATATAATAGTGAAACCTTTTCACATACTTTGTAGAATTATCACACACTTGTTAATTACTCTTTTATTGAGAAGGATTTGGGTTGATATGACAACCATAAGAAAGAAAGAAAGAAAGAAAGAAAGAAAGAGAAAGAAAGAAAGAAAGAAAGAAAGAAAGAAAGAAAGAAAGAAAGAAAGAAAGAAAGAAAGAAAAGAAAGAAAGAAAGAAAGAAAGAAAGAAAGAAAGAAAGAAAGAAAGAAAGAAAGAAAGAAAGAAAGAAAGAAAGAAAGAAAGAAAGAAAGAAAGAAAGAGAAAGAAAGAAAGAAATACAAATACACTAATTTCATGGAATAAATGTAAACTGACAACTCTTATAATGATTTATCATAAAAATATTATCAAAGATTAACAACAGCAACATAAAAAAATTTGTAGATTTGTTCTTATATTTTTCATACCTGGCTTTTTCTCTTGTTTCTCAGTGTTCCTTCTATACACTTTTGTTTGTTTTCGTGGAACTATGGTTCCAACTGAACCAGCCCGCTGATTCCTATTGTAATTCATGTTCTGGTTCCCTTTCTTTACCATGGAGTACATTTGAGTCAATGGGGAACTTTTCACTATTTCCAGCATTCTTTTCTTATTATGAATTAATAGTAATTTCCTGTATCCCTTTGATTATTTGATACACAACGCCATATATGTCATTTAAGTTTTATATTTTTCTAAAAAATGTATAGATTAATTCAATTCTAAGGTCCACAACATGGTTTGTCATTTGACAAATCACAATAACTATTCAATACAAGCAACTGTCACTTTATAAAAGCTTTAAGACTTTAAATTCTCAAAAGTTACTGTTATTAAGAGACATTGAACATTTCACACAACACTTTCCTGTGAAAATACATT